TTTTTTTCGGTTCGTCTATATTGCACGGTGCAATTAAAAACTTATTTGATTTTTCGGTTCGTACCGTCTGCCTTTCCCGTTTATCGGAATGTCGCGGATAATCGATATAGCACTATTTATCAAGACGAAATATATTTTGATATTTTTTTTTTTTTACGGGGATATCGATGGTAACAGCAACGGATCTCTAAATTACGTGTTTTCAACTATACCTATAAGTTTGTATAGGTTATATGTTTTCAACTATAACCACACGTCATAACGTGTGCCGCTTTATTAAATATCCGTAGTACGGTGGTACACGGGATACGCTCGACTTGGCCGAAACGATTTGATTTCAATAATTCGTTCAATAATAATAATAATAATAATAACAATTAATCGATAATACTAGTGTTGTCATTATTATTATTATTATTATTATTAAACCATCGTCTTACGCGAGACGTGACGCTACGAAAGAGGTCGTTTGTTTTCGTGTTGCGTTTAGTCGTCCGCCCGGCGAACGCGTAGTGTTGTTTGCGTTGTACGCGCGATGGTAGCACTGGGCGACGGCGTACGGTGGTTGCGTCGTTCTCACATAGATCATGCTCATTGATCCAAAAAATAAAAAAATTAAAACGCCGTTTTGTTTGATTCTCTCGTGCGCGTCGGTCGCGCGCGTGACTTGAGTTGTCGCGTAAAATCATTGCACAACCTCGTTGTTATGATAATATCGTACAATCATTATCATAAGAATATAAGCTCGGATTTAATCTCATCTGCCCGTCGCCGGTCACATAATACTATAAATCACCGTCAACGGTTACCGATTGCGAAAAGTCGGGTACGGCTGTACAACGATGTCCGATGTGTCCGACAGTAGGTACTCTCTATCCGAGATTAAAATCCGACTGAAGGCCAGTGCCGTGTTGTTGTCAGATTCCCATGACGGCTGTGGCGGTTAAATTTTTTTGTTTTTTTTTTTGTTTGGGTTTGTCTTAATATTATAATATTGCTCTTGGACAGGTGTCGTCGTCGTTATAAGCTCGTTTCGAATGTTACATTCTATTCGAACAGTCATAGTTGTCGACTCTCGTTTCCAGATAGATGTAAATTTAATATATTTGTAAATCCTTAATGACGTTTATAGTTTTGACCACTGTGCGTATTGAAATTGTTAGCCTCTTTCGAAATTCCAATTATTCAAACCGTAAATACAGAGCACTGTACGATTTATATTTATGTGTTAAGATCCTGACAATACGTATAGGTGGCTAAAACATTTTAGCATTTAGCATCTTTAGCTTGTTTATAATTATATACGATATATAACGTGTATGTTATATCGGTACTGTTTACAAATAATGAGTCATTATCGCTGTGCGTTAATATTACGTTGAGATACGACGCCGACCTTTAGTGTTTTTACTTTATGGACGTTATTTATCGTAATTACGAAATATTAATGTACCTATTAAGCTGTTATAAGTTACTCATTAGCTCGTCGATTTAGTATTATTGTGTCAGATATACTTTGAAACGCTATACTCGTGGAATATTATGTATAATATTCGTTTTGGTGCACATAAAATAATAATTCAACATTATTTTGTTCATCGTCTAAAAAAAAGAAATATCAACAAAATAATCCAACGGGAATTTGTTTCTATAAAAGAAAAAAAACCGTGCAAAGATTAATATACCACTCAGACGTTTTCTATAATAATAATAACAATAATATATAATATTGTAACGGTGATATTTGTCGGTTATACATGTGTACTCACAGGGGGGGGGGGTTTATCGGGGCCAAAAATGTACGTCCGTTGCAATAATATAATATAATATGCATACCGCACTGTAAGATGACTTACCGGCGGAAGAGGTGGTGGTGGTGGAGAGATCGGTGGATTTAATATAACGGAACTCGAAGGTGTATTGTAATTCACTATATTATACGTATTGTGCACGAAGAAACGAATATAGCAAAGGGGTCCCAGTCACCGACACTCTCACTCTCTCTTTGTCTTTCTACCCACGTCATTCTCGTTCTATCGAGGTGCTTTGTCGTACCACTACGACTACCTAATATAAATATATATATATATGTATATTATATATACATAATATACATCCACCTCGCTATACGTAAAGTATATACCTATCCATCGAGTTTCGCATATTAATTTAGGTCCCGGCGGGCTTTAAACTGCTGCGAAACACCGCCGTCGCCTGATGAATTTATGTTTCGTTTATTCATGACGCACAGCACAAACCGGTCAACCCTTTCGCATCCGCTTTCAACCCCTAAATGCTTGGGGCTGACGACGGACAGACGTATGGCCCGCACAAAAGATGCGAAAATTAAGCCCTCGGGACTTTCCTCAGCCAACGTCCCATGGAAATATTATACGATATCGTTTTTGATGGTTTAAAGTGTCTCCCTGCTATTTTCTTCTTCTTTAATTTTGTCTCTTTCAACATTGCGACTTGTTGTTGTGTTTAAAATACAAATGTTTTGGTGAATCGTATTGTAAATATGACATGCACGGTGCACCTGCAATTAGACGGCAGTCATTAAATACCGCACTTAGTATTCGGACCAGTAGCTAAAGGTCGTGTGCCCCCTCTGTCTTGAAATGCTTTTACCACACTTAAACTGCGGTTAATGTACTCACCCACGCTTATTGCAGCATACTTCTATTTTAATATACTTATTATGACTGCAATAATATAATACAATTAATGTGTTTTCCACTGATGACGTTTGTGCATTTACGTATGCGCCGTTCGTTGTATAATCGTCGTTGTGAAGAGTGTCCGAGATAAGAGATTATGATGGACTATGAAAATACAGCTTGGCTATGCTGCGCGAGTGAGTCGGAATAAGCCAGTTTAGTGAAATTCGATCCGTCTTCCTGTGTGCCCTTATTTTCACCATATGTGCGCGCATTGTGGCGTTTACTGCAATATATATAATATTATATAATTGTTAGAAATAGGCGCACAGAACGTTCCTTGTATATTATATATTATACACGTGTTTATGAGGAAATAACGAACCGCTAATCATATCCGACCAACAATTATAATGTGCCGAAACCGACCCTGTCCGCCATTATAGTCGTGTCGCATTTTCTAGGTAAAAACAAACAAAAATCATTTTTAGTTTTCGATGTCCCGACGACTCGGGATGGTGTCGTGCTACGTTGTCGTCATGAGTGCCGTCCAGTGATTTCGCGACGAATATCATCAAATTTAATAAATACTATTTCGTGAATATTGTCAGACTTTTGAGTCGTTAAGAAAAAATTTCGTCGTTTTCGATTGCTGGCCTGTACAATTTTACACTATTGGACTTCTGTACCATCGTCACGTATAGCAAACACATCATTGCAGTGGCGTTCGCATAGTATAGTATTTATTGTTTTAATATTTGCATGTTAAACAGATATTGAGTTTGAGCCTGAAATTCCTACAGCTATACGTCAATATTTCCATCATATTGACTGATTAAAACCGATCAACCGTATGATAATACTTTATCATGATAAGCGCCGTCTGTATTATAAGAAAACACCACGACTGCACGATCTACGAGATTTGATTTTTCCTGAAATTTTGACCTGTATATAAATATATATGTATATTTATATAAATCCGTTCACGGTTATAACGTTCAAAGATCACTTGAATTACTTATTATTATTTTTATTGATATGCACTACACTGTTAATTGTCATTAATTTATTATATTATCCTTTTAAACGTGCATTTTGTCTCGTATAATCGTTACTCTTCACCTTTTACAACAACATTTATATACATAGATATGTTTTATTGCAATTTATACTTTTTTTTAACTGTTGTATTTATTCATGTACAGTACGACAACAAGCGTAACTTGTGTACGCTACCGTCACCGTGTAATATAAATAACATGGTCATTACTGGTCGTATTAATTGCGTTGTTGTGGATAAAGATGTCTAATGTAATCTTTAGTAAGTGTCTACAATGTATTAATGACAATCACTTAAACACACGACAAATGTTTAAAAGAAATAAAGAAACAATAATAAAATCACGTAGCAAAAAAAGCATATAGTTATATATTATATATATACATACATATATAAGTACCTAGATACTTTAATATATATATTGAAGTAAAGTTTTCGATAAATATCGATAAATATATGATATATAGCGCCGGTCTCCGGGTTGTAGGGGGAATCTCAAGTCGACGGGTACAAATCACCATATACACACATTTAGACATTTCTCTTTAAGAATGCTAGACGAGATAAGCGCATAATGACACGAGAGACGGGGGCCTTTTTTAATGTGATAAAAGAGGCTATATTATAATGCACACCAATAGATCATCTGGTTGGTACGCGTTGACGAACCGGCAACTTGTCGTCGAGCGTGAAATATGCAGTTTATTCGCGTGCAAAGTGTATGCAGCCGGCGTGGAACAGCTGCTTTGGCCATTGTCGTCGTCGCACCACGTTTAACATGCACAGTGTAAAATATAATAATGCCTTATATTATAATCCGTATAGGTACGCCTAACCTACGCGTTTTATACTTTATGTAGCATATGAACCGGTGTTCGCGGTGGCGGGAGGTTGGGTGATGGGTGCCGCACGAGCCCATTGTAACCCGGCGATGGACGTATTTGTCATCTATTGACGGAGCTCGACGTCCCGCGGCCGTTGTGGTGGAGTGCGGAAATTCGCAAAACAAATATGCGCACAAAGGCCTGTACAATATATATAATATATATAAATATATATGTATACTCATACACGCGTATATACTTAGGCAAAATCTGGTGGGGGTAACCCGTTCCGGATTTTTTGGGGGGAAGAAGGAAAGAGAATTTGGCGTTGAATGGCCGTCCGAAATCCGGCGTGCAACTACACAATAATATTATGTATACTTCTGCAATACAGTTTCTCACACGTACGCGAACGATCGATTGACCGTGTTTGTTTGGTTTTTTGTATTTCAGGGGCGGATTTCGCGTGCCCGACCAAGTGATCGCGACGACCGTCACCAGCACCAGCAAAAGCAGAATATCCAACGCCAGCAGCAGCAGAACCGTCAACCGTACAGGTACCGGAAAAACCGTGACCGCGGTTGGACCAACGAGTGCGACACAGTCAGCGAATCGGTCGTCAACCACCGGACAAATCGTCCACCGTTGACCGTAGGACGGTTGCGCGTCGACGACCACCGTTGTTGTCACCAACAAGAAGACCGTCGTCACCACTGTCGATTGCCGCACCAGCAGAAGCACCGCTATCAGACCGACGGAGACGATGACGGCGTGCCGCGACGTTGCACTTGTCGGTGGCCACTAGAAGCCGCGCCACACGGCAGTCCGACGGTACACCACACCGGTGTGTAATTACGGTACATCGAACACCACACGTTTTAGCGACCGCGGTCCAGTGTCAGCGGCCGGCAAAGTGGAGGGCAATTGCGGCGACCTGTTGAACATGAGCTCGTACTTTGCCAACTCGTACATGCCGTCCGACATGCGGAACGGCGGAGGCGGCGGCAGCGGAGGAAGCCTCGTCGGAGGCGGTAGCGGCGGTGGCGGCGTGCTCGGCGGCGTCGGCGGAATCGTCGGCGGCGGGGGCGGCGGCGGCGGCGGCGTGGTCATGGACCACCACCACCACGGCCAGCAGCACTACGTGGACAACGCGCCGTGCGACCCGACCGCCCGGCAGGGCATACCGCCGCATCACTACGTGGGGCCCACGGTCGGCGGACAGCCGCCCCAGGGCATGCCGTACCCGCGGTTTCCGCCCTACGACCGGATGGAGATCCGGCAGGCGGCCGCGGCGGCCGGCTACTACAACAACCACCACCAGTCGTCCATGGACGGCTACAGCAGGCCCGAGTCGCCCATCGGCGGAGGCTTGGTCGGCGGTGGTGGCGGCGGCGGGGGCGGCGGCATGGGCCAGATGACCATGAACGGCCACACGCCCGTCGTGTACGCCACGTGCAAGCTCCAGGCCTCGGTGGCCAACGGCCTCGTCGAGCCGGGTAGCCCCACCGACATGGTCGACATGACCAACCACCACCAGCAGCAGCAGATGACGGCCGCCGGTCACCACCATCACCAACAGCAGCAGCAGCAGCACCACCATTCGGCACCGCCGCCACAATCGCACCACCAACAGCAGCAGCAACAGCAGGCGTACTTCAGCAACCTGAGTCCGCACCACCACCAGCAGCAACAGCAGCAATCCGTCGTCCCGTCGACGCCCGGACACCACAACCAGGTCGTGGTCAATCCGCACCAGCAGACGCCGCCGCTGCAGACGCCTACCGCCCAGAATCAACAGGCGGTCAACAACAATTCGTTGCCGAGTCCACTGTACCCGTGGATGCGAAGCCAATTCGGTAAGTACGAGTGAGGCACTCAATATTTTTCTCGTTCGATCACCTCTTCAGTCGGCTACTGTCATAAAAATTACAAACTCCCCCCCCCCCTTTCCCCCCCCCCCCCCCGATTGGTCCTCTTGTCAACACACTGTTTCCCGTCATTTACAACTCATTGCTATCTCACCGTTGACCGGTACGTTGGAGCACAGTAATACCTAAATCGTTTCGATAACCATCCACCTTGGCGGACGATGACACAACAGCAGGTACCTACCTACTTATTTCTAGTGGTTTCTCCGAGTGCATAACATGACTAACTCAAATGATATCCAGTCTATATACGTTTATATAAATTAAAACATGATAATATTCGAAAAACATCGTGGACATCCTGACTTAGACTTGAACCGTTTTGTAGAATGTGCCTGTTTCTAATATTTTACGCTATCATATAATATAATATCAATATAGAGTTGTTTTATTTTGTTTTTGGTTTTTTTATTAACCGTTAAAAAGCGGTAGTTTTTTTTTTTTTTAGTTTGGCATGCGTTTTGTATCGCCACAATATTAAATAATATAGAATTATAACAAAAGCATGGCGTTTTTCGTGTAGGTCGCGTTTCTTTGTACTGAATTTCGTTAGCGTGTTTTTAGAAACGCACACGCGAACGGTGACGTTGTAGATATCCACTCGCAGATTTGCCATCGTTCGCATAGTATAGTACAGTATAGTGGTCATCATCACCGGGGGTCTTCGCCCAGGTGTAATCTTTTTTGTCGGCTTGTCTCCCGCATAAATCATATTTGAAAAAAAAAATACGACGTCTGATCTCGATCACAATGGGCATTCGTTACGTATCGATGAAACGTTTTTTTCTTTTTTTTTATCCGATCCTTTTTACATCTCTATATCATAAAGTGCCGCTGAATCACAACAGGTCGCATATCGTACACGTAGGTGTGTATAAACATATAAAGTATACCTGTGTATTGGCTCTACATATATATATATATATACATCGAAATATCAATCAAATCACTTTATCTCGTGAGGGCATACTGGCCACTTAGCGGGCATTCTCGTTTTTATTCGACCGCCACCGCCTCCGTATGATATTTACTCGAAAGTCGTTTATTACAATATTTTATTCTTTCGTGTTCTTTTTGAATTTTTTGGTTTTAGTACAGTGTACCTATACAGAGTACACGTCTTGTTGATTTCTAAGAAATACTGTCAACATGTGGTCGCGGTTGCGTTCCAGTTAACAGAAATAAATATGTTTTCGACGAGAGATTATTTCTGATATAGTATAATATTTAAAACTATTTTTATATTTGCTACCGTACATTATAAACATCTTTGATTTCGAATACGTCTTGTATCTGTGTGTTTAACTGGCGACATTAATAATCTGTGCGTGTGTACTCATAATTGTATACTCTCGTATTGTCTTAAGACGTAATTTCGATATTCATTATATTTTATACAAAACGGAATGGATTTTTTCAGATTTTTCAGATAAATTTTCCGCCCTAGAAATCACTATGGCGGGTGGTTAGGTTAAGAAGGATGGTGGTCGGATGTTTTCGCTGTACGAGATTTTTTTTTTCACTCTCTTCCTGTTGGTAATGTCGCGCAGTAGGTCCGATTAATGTACCGTGAAATGTATTGCTTCCATGCGACGGTCGTCGACGCCGGTAAGCGGACGCGCGCCCGCACCCAGCAGTCGTATACACGAAAAACCATTGGGGGTGACCCGTTGATGCGTGTAGAAAAGGCAAACGAAAAGCCGAAAGGAGCCAACGATCCGGAATTCCTTTTCTTGGCCGATAAAAAAACTCACTGCACCTTCATCAGACACGCGTACATATATATATATATATTATACGCAGCAGCGAAATTTGTCATTCAGAATCGGAGGTGGGCCAAGACACAAAATTATGGTACACATATTCTCGAAACGTAACCCAGTTCGCATAAATTCTATTAGCCCGTTTGTGCATGGTAAACATGTTATTAAAAATTGTTTGTAGATAACCATTAAAATTAATATGTTTTTTGTTTATTTATAAGCTAAACTTCTGATAACATAAATTAAATTAACGAAATCAATATAAAATATTATTTAATAGTAATTATAAAAACAAAACTATGGTTAGATAATAATCTATATTTACTTTTTTAATTGGTATATAGTTGATCCTATATACATTTTTTAATGCATACAGACAGCTCATTACATTTTTCAATATCTGCAGTATAAAAACAGTTCATTAATATTTTTGCGTAAACTTTCAAAATGTCTGCAAACGTTTGGTGTGACCGTGATAACTGCTAGTATACATGTTATATATATTACAGTGTGACGGCGCGTACAATCATAAATTACGGCTCAACAAGTGGCTGTTTTACCTCTTCCACCTACTACTGCTATCCCCGCGTGTAAACACAAGTTCTCCACTCACCCCCGAACCCGTTTAAAAGTGTGCGTTTATTGTTATCATCATGATTATACCATCCCCTTCATCCACATAACGAATCGAAACACCATATACCTATTATACCTCTATAGGTAATTATTATATTTCCTCTGATTTTATGTTTTGGTTTTCTTCGCTATTTGTGTGTAAAGTTGTTGGTCCTTGCATTCGTTTTATCGGAGGTAATAATAACATCAGTCGTGATGATGTCAAGTTTTAATGTTCAGGTTTGAAGGCACACGATAAAAACTGTGGAATGTCACCACGACGCCACCTCTCCGCTATCTCTATATACTATATTGGTCTCAATTGATTCCTCTCTACATTAGTGTGTCGAGATTCGACTCTATCTCACTTTACATTTTTGTTTAATTACCAAGTATTGGTAACTTAGTCCAAAGGAGACACGTGCTCGTTTGAAACGAATACGTTTTTTATCCAACGAAATGCCTAATATGTTTCAATAAACATGCACAACGTTATTATTAGACAGTTAATATGTGTGATATGCAAATACGAACGCGAAAACAACAGTTCCCAGTAAACAACACAATTAAACGCCATTATACATTATGATATATTCCATTATAATAGCCATTAGTTAGAGATACTGTTTACTATCATCATTATTTATTTTTATCATTTATTTTTTTTTTTTATTTTATTTTACATGATTGCGGTAATTTTTGCAGGTCCAGACTCAGGTACGGATGAATTTGCGGTATTTTGGTAATATTTATACATTTGTAGCAACTTTACGTGGCAATTATTTTTTATTTTTTTATTACTTTACAATTCTTATCTCTATCTTTCTTTTCTATCGTACAGATATTCTACACGCTTTATATTTATTATTCTACTAATTTTTTTATCAGCTATAAATAATAAATGAAATGCATTGGTTTAAATTATTTGCTCTATCACAGGTTTTAATAGTACACAAAATAGCACCTCTTACTTTATTAAATATTTATATTTTTATAATATAATCATCAGCATGATACACTTTTACCTGTTGCATATACACAAAGTAATTACTGCAGTAGTTTAAGCTTATTCTTAAGCCACTTAACGTTATTATACACTGATATTTTATAATATTGTTTATACACAATATTGTAAGCAAGCGTACTTTAGCCAGTTTAATTATGTAACAGAGTCAAACAATTTTTTTTTTTTTTTTAATTGTTTTTTGTATTATTTATTGCGATATTTCAAATTATTTTCTTTTAAGTTTAGTTAAAAACACCTTAAAATTGGTATTTATTTTTCTTCATAAGTCATTCTTTTCATCTCGTATTTATTAATATTTTTTTAACATTTATCGTTTGACATGATTCTGAGCTCATAATATTTCTTATTAAACATATTTTTAGTAATATTATTATTTATTATTTATTATCAAAAATAAAAAATGTATATGTACCTATAGTATTTAATAAGAATGCCGCCCAAAAATCTTAATTTATGGTATTCACTATAAACTTCGTAGCTCACCTTAATTTGTGATTCTTTCTATATTTCTATCCATTATTTAATTATTTATTACTTAACTTAGATAAATAAAAAAAAAAAAAAAAAACGTAGATTAATAAATTAAAAACACAAGTTTTTTTTATCATTATAATACATTATTATTGTTCTACGACAAGGAATCCATGACTTATTAATATCATAAAACGATTGAAAGGTATAAATTTAAAAACTCACTGTTCTTGAACTTAGAGCTTAATTTTTTTTTTTTTTAATTTTGCATGTTTTATTAAATTGGTAAAGACTTTAATTGTATTATATTATTATCACTATGAAACTCAATAAAATATTTTAATAATTTAACAATTAAATTGCACGTTTAGCATCCTAATTTGCTCGGGACGTAAAAGTTATCAAATAAAATTTTATGTATTTTATTTTTAATTCTTTAACGAATTGGTTGAAAATAGTTTAAAATGTACACCAGAGTAGGTACATTTTAAATTTTTATCAGTAACTAAACGTTAACTGATTTATTCATTTTTAAATGAATTTTAGCAAGTTTCATAATAGGGGACTTGAGTAGTAAATATTTTACCTTAAATATAAGTTTCTATATAAATTAGCCCGAGTTAAAGCGCAGTTTGAAATTTTAAAACTTGCAACGCTTTATGCGTTAGGTTAGGTAACTTATGTATATATTATAAGCAAAATAGATAATTTTAGTAAAAGCAAAATAGCGATAATGATATTCAATGAAAATTGCTCTTAGGCTATAGCATAACTCGTGTTTGATACGCAAATGTTATCAGCTGTATTGTTTCTGTTTTTCTATGACGTAGGTACTATTATTCTGGATGACATGTGATGTATATTTTACTATGATATTAATTTAATTATTATTGTGGTCTACTAGTTGTGTGTAGATTATGTATAAGTCGAGCAGTTGAAAAATATAGTACTCATGATGGTCCCTCCTCCAAACAAAAAAAATAACATAGTTTTAAACAACATTGAATTGTAACTACTTCTCATTTTTTACTGTTAGAATTAAAATAATATTATGATTTATTTATCTTTTTCAAATTTAAAATGTTCACAGTATAAGGGATGAATAATCTCAATAAATAACAATAGGAGTATTTGCTAAAATGGTCGTAACTTACTACATTTTACAAATAATCAACTGATATGTATTGTGCATGTGGGTTAGGTAAGGTATTCGTATTTGCTACGTAATAGTGGGCGGTGTTTATAATTACATTTTGAGCGACGGCGTTGTGATTAATCTTTTTAAATTCCTAATTTTTTTGTTCCCTCATTTATTGTTTCGCTTTATAAAATACATCAAAAGAAACGCATGTCGAGCGATCCGTCAAAGTTATGCAGGGCAAAACTTTAAGGTGCGGTATACTCTCTTCATCGTGGTCAGGGGGGTCACTGCCACTCGACAGACCAATGGATGTTTTTATAATTTTTTTTTTCTGGCAAACGTAGATTTACCTACGTATACAGTTATACATACTACAATGTGCTCTCGTAATTGTATTAAAAAGCATATTTTTTTCGGCGCGATGCACCTTCTTGTTATACGCACATTTTACATTTTTTAAAACGACTACCTTGTCTGCAGCGCACACAAATAATTAGTTTTCAAAAAAATATTTACCTGTTTATTACAAATGACTTGATTGCATACAATAAATATACTAACTATATAATGACAGTATATAAACAGAGAAAACCGTTGTTTTGATATATTGCAGTAGTTAGTTGTTATAAATACAGTGGTTTATTATATTTATATTTGACTTTGATTAAAATTTGTACATTTCACTTGCGCAATCGATTTATCGGTTTACGTGCTCTTGTCAAACACTTCTGCAAGTAGGTACTTGACTAAGACATTTTGCGTAAACAAATCATTGTTTCATAATTATTAATTTCATCTCCCGCGCGATCCAGTGTTTACCGATTTGCTCAGCCTCCCACGAAGACGACGAAGTTCCCACGACTTAACCATAGATATTATACACTAATACAGTAATACGCGCGTTTCTCGTATTGTTATATTATTCGACTATATACAGCTACGTAACTGTCATATATAAACATAATACTAGTCTCACGCGGGTATCTTGGCTCAGCTGGTGTACAGATTATGATGATGTTGTCATTGTCGTCGTCGTCGTCGTCGTATATATATAGTAATATTATACATGCAACCGATGACGAAGCTACGAGAGTAGGATATAGTCTGCGTGACCGTGTGCATCGTGATAATATGGCGGACTAGTGATAGAGTGGGGGTGGTTAGGCCATAATTCATAAAATATATTATATTATATATGTGCATATGCAGTGTATGTGCGTGCGCGCGTTTATCCCAATCTACAGATCTACAGATTGTACAGACGTCACGGTCGTCAGAATTACATATGTATATAATCGGAGTTCAGCACAGACGCTGTTGCGACAAACCCAAAAGAACGCGAGCGTCGTGATTTCTCTCGCATATAAAAATTTTTATGTAAATTTGTAATAATCCAATACAAGTATAACGCATGTATTTTAAATATAATATGTATTATGCTATGTATGCATATGATGGAAATTGTGTAGGTATCAAAAGTAATTCCAACGTCAAACTTTTGGTACTGTTTTGGATGTAATTTTTGTAAGTGATATCAACATATCAACATTTTCAATTATATACACACAATATTTTATGATATCGGTCAACGAATATCACCGACTATTCAGTCACTGATTATTTTTTCAAAGACTTTAATCTGCAGACATCTTAATTCTTTGTATTGCATTTTCACGAGAGAATTAATTTTTGTTTTATACTTACACTTTCAAAAGATTTCCAATACAAGCGAGACGATTCCAAAGTAATTTTAATTTGTGTACCATCGGATATGGCTGCAGGTGTAGGCTCATCTGTCTTATTAATAGGCACATTATCCCTGATAGAAAAGCCGAAAAACTATTTGGGATTCAATAGCCCTATAATAGACCTATACCTACATCCTACATGGGTACTATATCAAGATGATACCTATACATATTATATCGTATATGCATGTATTAAGCCTGCAAGGGAAAATAAGTGCTAATAATAGAGTCTCAAACAAAACTTATCTAATTTTAACCACACATTTGAACTTATCGGGTGCTGGGGTAGTGTCCGTACCGGTGCTCCTTTTCAAAATGGTCGGTGGCGGCGTCTGCGGCGATGTCGGCGGCGGCGGCGCTACGCAGCGTAGTGTCGGACACGACGTGACGGCGGCTCGGCGTATTGGTGAACGGTCGGGAGACGCGGGGGGGGGGGGACAATCCGTCATTTTGGGTTCGCCGCCATGAGGGTGGTTGGCGTCGGCGGTGGGTTCTTCGAGTTAATTAACTTCGTGCGCTCTCCGCAACCGAACGCCGCCCGTATATACGTGCATATGCAATGCGAGCGTCGTAATTAATATTTGCCTCGGTTCTCCGACAGACGGACTACGCGCCGCCGGGTACACGCGAACAATCTTTAACCGAATTAAAACCACACGCAACACTGCAATCTAAAAATACGAAACATTTTTTTTTCCCACCCGTACGTTATTTTGTCATAATATACACATACATCGCATCGGCTATATTACCTAAGTGTAGAATAATAATTAAAATGATAATATTAAATTATTGAATAAGTCTCTACGATCGTTTAGAAAACTTGAATAAAAGTTACAGATACAGCTGTGATCTTTATATACCCGTAGTTATTTAAAATATACATAAATTATATTGGTTTCAGTTAAACCTTACAGATATTAACTCAATGACGATAACTTCGTTTAAAATGCGTAGTCGATAACTATTTTTAAATTTCAATACACGTATATATATGTTACGAGCAAAGTGGAAAATTCGGACAAAGTATACAATGCCCGGGCATTGTATACAGTGACCGGGCATTGTATACAATATCCGAGGTATATTGGGCAATGTAAATTGTGAAGTATTTATACAAAATAATCTGCATAATATATTATGTTTTTATTGCAAATTATTAATATTACATAATATAATATTTATATTAATATTATTTTTTTTCTTATAAAGTATAAATAGGTTACGTCTATCCTTTGGTTAAACACTAATGGCATTTTGTGAATACACTATATATCCCGATAACGAAACCGATAAATATCTTATCTCATATAATTTATTATATTATATA